TAAAAAAAAATATAAAATTGTCAATTTTAATGTTTTATTTATATTACAAAAATAAATTATAATAAAAAATAATCCTATTTATGATGTTTTAAAAATTAAGACCTACGAAAGACTGATTTAAGACATTTTAATACCAATTAAGGCCTTAGTTTTATTTTGAAGAATTCAATGCCTTTTAAGACTTTTTAAGGACCCCTGGGAACCCTGTTATCCTCCAGACTTCATCCCCATCATAGGGTGAGCCAGAAGGTGAGCGTGATGGAGCCTCCCTGCCTTCACGCCCACCAGCAGACATGACGCCGAATCTGCTGCCACCAAAAACCTTCTTTCTTTTTTCTGTTTTTCTTTTTTGGGTGGGCGGCATCATCGCTGCTCCTGAGGGAAGCAGCTTTAACTGATGCTTCATAATGCCCATTATGCTACCGTGCGTTATGCATAAGTTAGGATGTCGTTAGACATTAGTTCTGGTCTCGTTATGAATATTCTACGTTTACGCACAAAATTGAAACCTGAGTGAAGTTGGCCCCCCCACCTTCTTCAAATCTGACAAAATAAGTGTCCAACGTTTGTGCAGCAAAAATTTTCCTTTGTGCGGCTATCATTTTAAAGATATAAAGAAATGTTTCTAGAGGGCATCAAAGGTCAACCAGCCCCCCCACCTTCTTCAAATCAGACGAAATAGGTGTCAATCAATTCGGCTCCGTTTGTGCTGCTTTGGCTTTGAAGATATTAATGAAAATGTAAAGGTCAAAAGGTCAAAATTTATTTCAAATATAAAATATTTTAAATAAATATATTAAAAATTTTAAAATACATATCTTAAAATACATATATTTTTTGTACTGCTATCATTTTAATTATTTAATAATTGTTTGTAGAAGCCATCAAAGGTCAGTGAACATTTGTTCATTCTGAAACTCTGAATTTCATATAAATTAGTTTCTAACCTGTGATTATATAATTCTGTAATCATAGGTTAGCAACTTATAATTTATATTAACACTGTAAAAAAATGATAGCAGCACAAATGAAAATTTTTGCTGCACAAACGTTTGACACTAATTTTGTCTGATTTGAAGAAGGTGGGGGGGCTGGTTGACCTTTTAACCTTTACATTTTCATTAATATCATCAAAGCCAAAGCAGCACAAACGGAGCTGAGTTAATTGACACCCATTTTGTCTGATTTGAAGAAGGTGGGGGGGCCAATTTCACTCAGGTAAAATTGAAAAGAATAAATAGAAAGTTCAGCATATGCCAGCGTTTTAGGAGATTCTGGGACGTCAGGCAGGCGCTGGATAAATCGGGATGGTGGGACAGGGCACTAAGTCACAGAGCGAATAATAAGGAATGAAGTTAGAGGATTTCTGGAGGGAGGAGGGGCGTCCAATCAGGTGGTCCATGCAGACGTTCGTGGAGCTAAAGGGTTCCAGTTTGTAAAACACAGATCATCCTAAATGCTGTTTCATGAAGAAGATCAAAACAAACATGGATGAAGCAGCCAGGCTGTTAGCGTCATGCAGCTCTGCAGCTGGGAGCCTCCCTCCTGTGTCTGTAATTAGGATCTGTGGGGAATCCCACCCAGTTTCACACAGTTAGCCTAGCCGCCTGCTAACTGCTTCCTCGTGTCGTTTCTAATCTGACGACCACAAACGGCTTCCTGTGGCTGCACGCTTCGATCGGTGGCATGAAGACGGCTCTCTACTTACGTGGAGGTGATGGTTCGGAAGCGTTCCTGGCCCGCCGTGTCCCAGATCTGCAGCTTCACCTTCTCCCCGTTGATCTCCACCGTCCGGATCTTGAAGTCCACTCCTATCGTGGTGATATAGCTACCTGGAAGCAGACACAGACGGGTGTAGAGAACAAAAGCTTTTCAGACACTTCTGCATTTTGTCACATTGGATCCACAAGCTTCGTTGGGTTTTATTGGACTTCCAGGTGACGGACCAACACCAGGGAGCTCTGAACTGGAGGGAGGCCATGTTTAGGTACTGACCCAGTCGGGTTTGATCCAGACCTCCGCCTTTAACAGCTTTCCTTCCTGAATGTCACTCCAGCATGATGCTGCCACCACCGTGCTCCACAGCAACCTACATGCAGGCCACACAGTTGAGGACCATAGGAGCCAACTAGGACTGCAACTAGCGATATTTTTCAAATCAGTTAATCGCTTTTTAGATTAATCAATAATTTAAAGTTCCTTAAAGAAGAAATTAAACCAGGTGAAACTAAAACTTTTCCACTTGAGGAGTTCTATATAGATTAGATTGACAGACGAACAGTTTTTTTTCTTAAATGCATAACATTTATGTTTTGTTTTATAATCTTGGTATAATTCCTGCTCTAAGTAGGTCGCTCTGTCAACTAAAGGCATGTTTTAGAGTCTCTATACTATCTACTATACTATCAAGTTAAAAATTAATCAATTAATTCAATTAATCCGGTTAGTTGTTTCAGCTCGAGAGTCGAACATCCTCCAGATGTTCCAAAAAAGTAAAAATCCATGGCTTGTTCCGAAGTTTGAAGACATTTCTCTTCCCAGTCAGGAAGCTTTTTCAATTCAAAATGTCAGAAATAGCGTTGAGTTCCAGGTTTTATACAGTAGCCCAACAAAGCCTGGTTTTTTTTGTTTAGAAAACACGCAGAAAACGACCCCCTTTCAGAGACATAAGCAGGTATGGGGCATTGCAGGCTAACAAAGAAGCCAATCGCTCCCCGTTCCGAAGAGGTGGACCCGTTCGTCCGTTTCTATTTGCATGTTTTCAAAACAAAAAAACTAAAACTCAACACTATTTCTGACATTTTTAATTGAAAAAGTTTCCTGGATGGGAAGTGGAACGTCTTCAAACTTGGAAACAAATTTCAGTAGATTGTTTGGAATGACTATGACCTGGATGACAGAGAATCTTCCCCAGCATATCCTCCAGATGTTTGTAGCATCCAGAGCACGGCTATAGCTGCATTCTCCGTATGTTATCATCCATTTAAAATCCTAAAAAGCACTTGCTCTCCTCCCCATTCACCGCTTTGTGTTGGTCTGTCACATAGAAATCACCCAGTATGTCCCACTGAGGTCTGTGGTTCTAACGTGTTTCATGGCGGCCCTCCATAGAGGCCCGGCCCGTCTGAGCAGAGGCGGAACCACCAACCTGAAAATGTGTTGTCTGCGAACCGCAAAAGGAGACTGCTCTTTCCCACTCCTGAGAAGGAAACAAGCACAGGAACAAGTTTACTGTAAAACAAATTCACAAATATTAGACAAGCTGCAGCTGCAGCAGGGAGACAAACGTCATTTATATCATGAAAACATTTGATGAATTACTGTTTTTTTTTCCCTTCTTGAAGGAACAGAGTCAAGTTCTACTAAAGATGGTGGCTCTGTGGAGCGTTATCAAGGCTTTATCTTCATCAGATCACCTTCCTGGTTCCAGCCTAACCCTCTCCTCTCCTCTCCAGCCTCGTAGCCTTTTGTGATCTAATATTTGATTGGTCACGGGCTCTTATGATCTTTGCAGCACAGTTTTGTTAAGACTAACAATAGACGAAGCTTCAAAAGGAGAGTTTAAAAAAACAGTATGGCTTCCAGCAACAAAAAGAATAAAATGACTTCCTCTGAGTAGAACCGGCTCGCTGGAGCTTCTTTGACTGTTTGCAAATTTTACTGAAAGGAGAACAAAAACAAAAACTCTGCCTTGCTGGGTTTTTTTTAAGCCTCTGATCACCAACAGATTGATTGGTGTATCAATAAATACTCTGCAGAGATCAGCAGCTCCATGACGGACTAGCTAACATGTAAGAAGAACAGGAGAAGTTATGTTAGAGACAAACTAATTCTGCAGCTGCAACCAAACAGATCAATTCAACTTTCCCCCGAAATAATCTTTGCAAACAGCAGACAGTTGGAGCACAGCTGAGGGGGACACTGCAGGCTGTGTGCGACACGCAGAGCTGCCTTGTTCCGGCCAGCTGATGGCTCCTGGTGCCAGGATTGGAGCGTCAGTGAGAGCAAAGATCATTGAACCCCCACTTTCCTTTCTCCAACGAGGGAAAAAAACTCTTAAAACCCTTTATAAGGCAAGTTACTGTTTCTGATCACTTGCATTCCTCTTATTCCCCGTCCCTCAGTGAGCTCTAGAAGCACAAGATCTATACCCAGTCCTTCAGCAAATATGCTGCTACATGGCTGTACATCTTATTTTAGCATCTGACCAATTAGATGAACCCTTAATGATATATTACATACTGGAAAATAAGTTGGAAAACAGTTAACAAGTCAAGAAAAAAAGTTCATAAGCCTAATTAACAATATAAATATGTATATATTAAAGTTAACAAAATGAAAAATGTACTAGTATCAGCATTAATGCCTCTAAGGTTGTGTTGGACCAAAAAAAAATGTTATTTCTTTTACTCTGAGTGTTTTTCATGAATTTCTTATAGAAGCACTTTTGTTATTTTTCATAATAAAATCAGGAAAGTTGGCGTTTCTTCTTACATTGACATTCATTTTTGCCATCAAAATATCCATGTTTTTGAATCTAACAAAAGTAATCAGCTCTTGTCTTCTACTCCAATAACACTATTGGCTTGAAATTTTGTTTTTCAAAGTATTTCACTGAGTGCCCTATAAAGGGTTAAAATTAGGCTGGAGTTTAACTAGAAAGTGCCCCTAGTTCCAGAGGACTCGCTCTGAGCTCTATAGATTCACCTGTAGCTCATGTGTCCCTTGGTTAGGAAGACAGACTGACTGCACTTTGCTGTGTGACTCCATCCTGGAGAGAAATATCAGCTGTGCTGCTGCCATCAACACCTTTGTTTCTAGATGTTGGAGATCTGTCTGTTTTCCAGTGTAGTCCTGTTTCTCTGACTGTGACTAACTGGATGTG